CGCTCAGCCTCCCTGGCAGGCGGGTGGGGGAGGTGAGGCTGCAGGCACCCCCGGGAGACTGGGGCATCTGTGTCAGGCTGTGGCCGGGTGTCTGGGCGTCAAAGCAGCCCTGTTTCAACGTGCCTGTCTGTGACATTTTGTGTCTGTATGTTGCCTGTGTGTGTGTGTGTGTGTGTGTGTGTGTGTTGGTTGTGTCTGTGTCTACAGATGTCTGCCTGTGCACCCAGCCCCGCTCCCCAGGCTCCACGCCCCCTTCCCAAACCCCAGCCCCCCAGTTTCCCAGGCCCTGCCGCCCCCCTTACAGGCCCTGCCGCCCCCTCCCCAGGTCCCCATATGGCTACTCAGTCTTTTCCCAAAGCGTTGCCCACATTTCACTTCGGTCCAGTGGTTCTCAGCCTTCCTAATGCCGCGACCCCTTAATACAGTTCCTCATGTGGTGACCCCCAACCATAAAATTACTTTTGTTGCTACTTCATAACTGTAATGTTGCTACTGCTATGAATCGTCATGTACATATCTGATCTGCAGGATGTATTTTCATTGTTCGAGACCCACAGGTTGAGAACCGCTGCTTCGGTCTCTCATTTCTCCAGGTTCCACCTGCTCCCCACAAGCCCCGCCCATCTCCTTATGCCCCGCCCTCTCCCGCTGTCCAGGTCTATTCCCTCGTGTCCCTACCCAGACTCCACCCATGCCTTAGGCCCTGTCTCCATTCCACAGACTCGCCCTCCACTCCGTCCTCTTCCCACCTCCACGGGACTCTCCCCTCGTCTCCGCAGGCCACACTCCATCTCCACCAACTACCGATGAAGTCTCCACACTCCTCTGCCCCGCCCTTCTCCTGCTCTTCTCTGACCCTTCCCCCCCACTTCTCCCCAAACAACCAGTTTCTCCCAGGCCCCACCAACGTCCCTTCCTATCATCTTGGCCACACCCCATCACTGCTGTCTCCTCCCTCCTCTCTCCTGACCCGGCCCCTCTCTGTTCCCTGTCCAGCTACAACGACCTTTCCATGTCACCAGCGCGGACCTACCCAGGCCCCACCCACAACCAGACCACGCCCATCCCCACCACCACGCCCCGCCCACTAGCAGGCCCACTAGCTCATTCCCCTTCCCGGGCATGGCCC